AGGAGGAGGAGGGGAGGGGAGGAAGAATAGAATGCAGAATAGAATGGAATAGAAAATGAATAGAAGGAGGAGGAGAGATGAGATGAGTTTTCTGGTGTGCTTTTTAATGTTTTTTTTTGTAGTTCCTCCTTTTCACTGGAAAAGTTGAGGCGGGGTGTGTGTGTGTGGGCTTTGTAAGAACGAGTGGAGAATTTCCAGGTCTTGTTTGTTGCATTTGCAGGGGTTTCTGATGGGAGGCCTTTGAGACCCAGGCCACTGCGGAAAGGGCAGAAGACGGAAGCGAAGGCCAAAGGAGCTGCGGCTTCGACTCCCGCCCCCATGGAGGTCCTGGAGAGGATTGGAGAAGAAGCTGGGCAGCAGGTAAGTTTGCCACCTCCTGTTAGAGCAAGCAGCAGCAAGGCACCGAGGGTCACGTTCGCACACCTTGCTGTGCCTGTGCAGCTGAACGCTCGACGCATATATAGGAGGGGCCACCTGTCCCCCGTCACGTCTACCTGTCCCATTAGGTCTGCCAGGGGAGGCGTGCCTGTAACGGATTGCCATCTCGGAGGGAAGGAGGGCAAGAAGAGGTGCTCGCCCTTTGGAAGATCATTTCCCCCGAGATTAGATCGATCAAGATTAGGGATTAGGGCGCTCCGATTAGGAGGTTTAGCTCCGTGGCTAGGACGCTGAGCTTGTCGATCAGAAAGGTCGGCAGTTTGGCAGTTCGAATCCCTAGCGCCGCGGAACGGAGTGAGCTCCCGTTCCTTGTCCCAGCAGCTTCTGCCAACCTAGCAGTTCGAAAGCACGTAAAAAAAAAAAAAATCCAAGTCGAAAAATAGGGACCACTTTTGGTGGGAAGGGAACAGCATTCCGTGCACCTTTGAAGGCATTTAGTCCTGCCGGCCACATGACCATTGGGACATCTTCTGACAGCGCTGGCTCTTCGGCTTTGTAACGGAGATGAGCACTGGCCCCTAGAGCCGGAAACCACTAGCACGGATGTGCCAGGAGAACCTATACCCGTTAGGGATTAGGGGTGACCTGATAGCAGTCTTCCAATATCGGAGGGGCTGCCCCAGAGAGGAAGGGATCAACTTATTTTCCAAAGGACCAAAAGGCAAGGCAAAAACAACAATGGATGGAAATGAATCAAGGAGAGAAGCAACCTGGAATTAAGGACACATTTCCTCATTGTGAGAACAATTAGCCAGGGGAACAACTTGTTGTCTCCAGAAGTTGTGGGTGCTCCCATCTCTGGAGGCTTTTAAGAAGAGGTTGGACAACCACCTGTCCGAAATGGTGTGAGGTCTCCTGCTTGGGCAGGGGGATTGGACTAGATAGAAGACCTCCAGGGTCTATTCCGTCTCTGCTACTCTGTTACAGGTTTTGTGCAAGGCCTTCCAGATGTGGCTTTGTTCCTGGGCACGGGGCCCAATAATATGACGGAGCTCTTGCAGTGGCCACATTGATTTTTTGTTACTGGTTCTTTTCTCATTTCACTTCTATTGATTATTTGTGTGCTGTTTCTTTTAAATAGTTCTCTTTTTATTATGAGGTGTTTAACTTCAGCCATGCTGCATCATGAATTTATAATGAATGTCTATGCAAGCTGAAATATTAATACGGTAGTAGTAAATATATATATATATATACACACATGTAACCAACAGTAGGAATCCCAAAGGTGCTTTTTCAAGAGGCAACCGGACTTTCTGGTTTTTTTTCTTTGAAGCTGTTTTGCTTGTCATCCAAGAAGCTGCTTCAAAGAATTAACCAGAAAGTCCAGTTGCCTCCTGTAAAAGCACCTTTGGGACAACCATGATCTGGATGACTGAGAATCTCCATAGATGCCCAAGCTCAGAGAGTACCAAGGACCCCCCAGTAGATCCCTGTGCTACAAATACTCTCCTCTGTTGGTATTTATTTGTATATATATCAATTTATATCTCACAATTGTGACTCTGGCTGGAGCTTAGAAAGCCTGAAAAACAAAAGCAATCTGTAAGGACACCAAGAATAGCAACACAATATTACCCGATCGGCTCCCTAGGACAGCCCTTAAACTTAAACCATCCTGAGGGGAAAAAAAAAATCACATCAACAGTCTCAGTCAACCTGTAGACCTCATACTCCAGGGATCATCCAGGCTTCAGGGATATCCAAAATTCCCAGAGGCTTGTGGCCAAGTGAATCTCAGCAGCTGTGGTACTTATCTTATCCCGCAGACCGTGTTTTGCTGCCCTCAGGTGTGCCGAGGGGGTTGCGTTAGAAACCCAACACTTCCTGAGTTCTAAAAATGCGGGTTGTGTTTTTTTTTGTTTGGAAACTCAATCACCAAGAAAGAGACCCTGACGTGATCGTTCACCTGGGGCCATTGTGCGTCAAAATTCTCGGACTCACAAGTGCAAAGGGAGATGCAGATGTCTTCTGTAATAGAGGAACACCGTGTTACGGTGTGCACGTGCCAAAATGACTTTTGTCTTTTGGGGGGAAAAAAAAATCCCAGGGAGAATTTTAGCAGATAAAACCCCACAGAGCTCTTAACGGAAAAGGCTGTTGTAGATTTAAAAAAATGGGTTTTTTTTTGGAGTCTTAGTGGACAATCCCTTAAACATGAGCCAGCCAGTGTGTAGCAGCAGCCCAAAAAGTATTAGTACCACTTTATAAAGCCTTAGTAAGGCCACACCCAGAATACTGCATCAGGTTTTGGTCACTGCATTACGAAAAAGATGTTGAGACTTTGGAAAAAGTGCAGAGAAGAGCAACTAAGATGATCAGAGGCCTGGAGACTAAAACATACGAAGAACGGCTGCAGGATTTGGCTTGCCTAGTCTAGAGAAAAGAAGGACTCAGGGTGACATCGTAGCAGTATTCCAGTATTTGAGAGGCTTCCACAAAGAAGGGGGGTGGTGGTCAACTTATTTTTGAAAGCCCCAGAAGGCAGGACAAGAAACAATGGTTTGAAATTAATCAAGGAGAGAAGCAACCTGAAATTAAGGACAAACTTCCTAACAGTGAAGACAACCGGGGAACTGCTTACCTCCAGAAGTTGTGGGTGCTTCATCCCTGGAGGTTTTTAAGAAGAGACTGGACAGGCACTTGTCTGAAATGGTACAGGGTCTCCTGCTTGAGCAGGGGGGCTGGACTAGATGACCTCCAAGGCCCCTTCCAGCTCTGTTCTGATTCTGACTTGAATAAAACTCTCTGCGGCCCTGGGAAACTTCACTCTGTGCAAGTTGATTGCTAGTATCTATTCTGAAGTTGGCTTGAAATATTAAAGTTTGTTATCTTTTGAAGTCTTTGAAAGAAATAGAAGCCAGAAAGATGCAGTTCCTTGGTGTGTAGTCTAATCACATCTCCCACTCGTGGGAGAATTGATGGGAACCTCTTTCTTCTTGTGTGATCCATTCTTAATTAGGACAGAAATGGATAGTTTCTCAGAGAAGAAGGGTGCTTTTCATCTAAGTCTTTTAAGATGGCTGGACTTCAACTCCCAGAATTCCCCAGCCAGCATTGTCAGTTAGTGTATTCTTGAAATTGAAGTTCACCCGTGAAAATTATGGAAGTTGAAAAACAGCAGAAAGAGCAGGCAATCCACTTAACAACTGTGGGGGGAAAAGGCCCTAAAATGGGGTGTGACTCGTTTAACAACTGCCTTGCTTAACCAGTGGAAATGTTGGGCTCAATTGTGGTCATAAGTCGAGGACTACCTGTATTCTAACACCGTGGTTGCCAAGCAGTGGGCCAGGGACCACTGGTGGTCTGCGAGAAAATTTTGGTGGTCTGCAGAGAAATGTCACCCCCAAAGCAATTAATCCAGGCTGCGTGGGAACACAAGGCTGTGCCTCCCACATGGCCTGCAGAAACACAAGGCTTGCATCACTTGCATTGTACACAACACGAGGTAGTGAGGGGAGGGGGGAAAGGGTAGAGGGGGGGAACTTGCCCCACTCACCCCACACGCCTGGCCTGGCCACCGGGCTGCTTCTTTCCGCTTCTTCCTTCTTCTGCTTTTGGCTGCATGCAAGGAAAGCAGCCAAAGTCTTTCTTTCTCTCTTCCAAGCTCTGCCAGAAATTTTTGGGACCCTACAAGGCCTTCTGCTCCAAGACGCTGCGCCGGCAAAGACTCATTCCTGGCGGAGTTTGGGGGAGAGAAAGAAAGACTTCTGCTGCTTCTGCTGCTTTCCTTGCATGAAGCCCAAAGTCTCTCTTTCTCTCCCTCTCTCCCCCTGAGAACGGAGCTGGAGACGGTATCCTGCGATCCCAAATAAAGAATGATCGATCGGTAGAAAAATGGGATGGGGAATTTTCCTGTGGACTTTTTTGGGGATTTTCCCAGGGTCTCTGCTCCGCGGGACTTAAAATTATTGGTTTGATGGTCCCTGAGGTCCAAAAGGTTGGCGATCCCAACATTTAACTCACCTATCTGGTTTCCTGAACTGTTCAGTCTTATGCTCGGTGGGAATGCAGAAATTTTCTGAATAATGCAGTGCCCTCTGGTGGTGAAAGGGTGCAAATACACCTCTTACAAAAAAATAATGCTATACCGGCACTATCCCATCATTGGTACTCTGACTTTTTGATGCTCTAGCAATTTGGTGGCCCATGAAGCCTAGAGACTCACCCGGTAGCCAATTGGCCATTGCAAGAAGGCGATGTCGCGTGTTTTGGGATTTGCAGCTAGAATTACGGGATGAAACTTGAGTTGACAATTGCACGGTTTTTACTGTGCAATCAAATGCTGTCTGGGGAGTCATTTGGGGATTTAGATTTAGAGATAACAGAACATTACAGAATAACAGAGTTGGAAGGGACCTCGGAGGTCTTCTAGTCCAACCCCCTGCTCAGGCAGGAAACCCTAGACCATTTCAGATTAACTGGCTGCCTAATCTCTTAAAAACCTTCAGCTGCTCCACTGATTCTCACTATCAGGAAATGTCTCCTTAATTCTACTAATAGATTTTGAATAATTCATTTTTTTCTTTGTTGGTACATTTCCAAAATGTACTTTCACCCTTTTTCCGGTGTAATTAGCATTTGAAAAAAAGACTTGTAATACTTCAGATCTTATGAAGTTTTACGTAGCAATTGTTGCTTCTGGCAAAACGTTGTATCAGCTACAGATGATAAGTTCCCAAAGGTTAAGAATAGGACTTCACCCTCTGTTCAAACCCCCATTTCTGAGGCCCTTACAAAATTGCAATCCTTCTCTTTCTCCTCCTTCCAGCCCTTGGTGAAGCTCGTTTGTGGAAGCATAAGCCGACAACGATTCTTCCAATGCAACATTTGGGAAATTATCTCCGTAGTCGTTTATAAAAATATGTCTTTTTCTTTCCTGGTCCATTCAAGTATGGCTGAATTTTCAGCTGAGTCTGCAGCTGTTTGTGTTTGAAATACATTTGCAGTAAATCCAGAAAGGTTTCTTTCCACGTTTAATGAAGTTCTTTTGCTAAATGTGGGTTTTAATTTTTTTAGGGGCCTGACAAAGGAGAAACAAAAAGTGCTTCTTTGAAGGATTTATGCCCCGAAGACAAGAGGCGCATCGCGAACTTAATTAAGGAGCTTGCAAGGTGAGGATAAATGAGGCCTGAGAATTTAGAAGGCTGAGAATTTCCTTCCCAGTTGTGGTTTTGTGAATTGGAGGAATTTCTCCTTATTCAAAGTGTCTCTGAGAGATTTCAGAGCTGACTAAAGATCTCCCTTGCTGCAAATTTATTTATTTGGTTGTTTATTTTACTTCTATCCCATATTTATTTATAAACAACTCAAGGTGGCGAACATAACCCAATACTCCTTCCTCCTCTTACTTTCCTTACAATAGCAACAATGGGAGATGAATTGTGTTGAGAGAGAATGACTGGCATGCCTAAGATGGGACTAGAACTCACTGTCTCCTGGTGATCGGTCCAAAGTTACTAGGCCGGCTTTCATGCTTAAAGTGAGACTAGAATTCACCATCTCCTGGTGATTGGCTGAGAATCACCAGCTGGCTTTCCTGCCTAAGGCAAGACTACAACTCACCATCAGTCCTAGGCTGCATCACCAGAGGGATAGCTCCTGGAAACTGTAGTCCCAGCCGTCGTCATGTACCTTGCTATCAATATAGAAGGTGCCGGTTTGGGAAGGTCAGCTTTCTAAGCTTGGTTTGGAGCATTAAAATGTATCGTGCTCCGTTATGTAAAGCAAGGTATATGATGGCATTTGAGCTCATGAGAGGCAGGCTCTTCCTTAGCTTTTCTAAGAAAAACTCATTTGTCAGAGCGTTTCAAGCGTGACTACTATTATGACACAAACCAGGAGCAAAACACAGCACACAGAGACTTAGACATTTAACAGTGGTTTATATATAAGACATACAGAAATGTACGTGGTAGGCAAATACCTGACAAGCGATCAATCTTAACTCTACACGGAGAACTCTGCAATGGATACCGGACAGAAGGACAGAGAACATGCCCTCTAATAGCTGCCTTTATATAGGCACCTCTTAAAGAGGTAAACCTTCTGTGGATCCATTCTTCGTCTTAAAAGGGCAATACCCATGCTCTGCGGATTCACCCTTATTGCATCAGCCTTACATTGCATCAGCTTTACATCTGGTCAGCTCTTAAATCCCTATACCTTAACATCATTACAGTGACATTAATTTTGAGAATTAAAACCTGCCCGACCCGCCTCTCATACCCAATTCTCTTTTTTTAATTTTTAAAAACTCATGAGCTCAGAGAGCACCAAGGACCCTACAGTTCAAACCCGAGCTACAGTTATTATCTTCTATCCATCCATTTATTTATTAAGCAAATTTACCTGGCCGCCCAACTCACACATAAGTTTCTTAGGGCGACAACATTAAAAATACAAACCATACCCCCCCCCCTCCCTCCCCCCCCCCCCTGCCTCTCTCTCTCTGCCTCTGTCTCTTTCTCTCTGTTTCTCTGTCTATCTTCCTCTCTCTCTCTCTCTCTCTCTGACTTTCTCTGTCTCTCAGTCTCTCCCTCCCTCTCTCTCTGTCTCTCTCCCTCTTCCCCTCCCTCCCTCCCTCCCTCTGTCCCTCCCTCTTTCTCTCTCTCTCTCTCTCCCTCCCCCCCTCTGCCTCTCTATCTGTCTCTCTGTCTGTCTCTCTCCCTCTCTCCCTCTCTCTCTCTCTCTGACTTTCTGTCTCTCAGTCTCTCCCTCCCTCTCTCTCTGTCTCTCTCCCTCCCCCCTCCCTCCCTCCCTCCCTCTGTCCCTCCCTCTTTCTCTCTCACTCCATGATAGCCGCAGCACAATCACTACTTGATCGGCCCCCTTCTATTTAGGACAAGTAGAAGCAAGAGGAATCGTGACAACGTGAGTGGTGGGTGGTGAGGCAGAGGGTCTTCAGGCTAGTCCGGATCGAAATCTGTCTTCTAGTGGCGCCTGGGTATTGGTCTGATGGCGTGTGTGTGTGTGTGTTGTTGTGTTGATCTTTTCAGAGTGAGCGAGGAAAAAGAGGTGACGGAGGAGCGCCTGAAAGCCGAGCAGGAGGCCTTTGAGAGGAAGATCCGGCAACTGGAGGACCAGAACGTCCTCATCATCAAAGAGAGGGAAGATATCCTTTATTTTTTTTTAAAAAAAATCGGCTTAAAATGGGGAGTGGGTGGGAGCGAGGAGTTGACTGCACGCCAACCGGGGGAGAAATAATTGCCCCGATGGATAGCTGGGCACCTATCGCGGCGTGCTGCCCTTCCAGAAGCAACCCGAGGGGGGCTCCCTCGAGTGGGGAACGGCCACCCAGCTGCTCCGGGGATGTTGCTCTGCTGTGCAAGAGGGGTTGGTCGTCGCAAGGAAGAATGGAACAGAAATCTCCACGTTAGCAAAAGCGGCCTGCTCCCTCCCGTCTTTCTTGCTTAAATGGCTTTGCCTTTGGATTCACCTTTGCCTTTGGATTCACCTCTTCTGCGGCCCTGCCCAACTTTCTCAGAAGTGGAGGAGGGCTGGGATCTGTGAGAGATGGCAGATCGTAGAGGGGATCAAGTGTTTCGATGGGCCCTGAAGTCCTTCCTTCCTTCCTTCCTTCCTTCCTTCCTTCCTTCCTTCCTTCCTTCCTTTCCTCCCTCCCTTTTCTTCCATCCTCCCTTCTTCCCTAGTTCCTCTCCCATCCCTTCTCTCCTTCCCTCCCTTCCTTCCTCCCTCCCTTCCTTCCTTCCTTCCTTCCTTCCTTCCTTCCTTCCCTCCCTCCCTCCCTCCCTCCCTCCCTCCCTCCCTCCCTCCTTTTTTCTTCCACCCTCCCTTCCTCACTTTTTACCTACCTAGCTCCTCTCCCCTCTCTACTCTCCTTCCTTCCTTCCTTCCTTCCTTCCTCTCCCTCCCTTTCCTCCCTCCCTTTTCTTCCTTCTTCCCTAGTTCCTCTCCCATCCCTTCTCTCCTTCCCTTCCTTCCTTCCTTCCTTCCTTCCTTCCTTCCTTCCTTCCTTCCTTCCCTCCCTCCCTCCCTCCCTCCCTCCCTCCCTCCCTCCCTTATCTTTTTCTCCCTCCCTCCTTGGTTTCACCTCAAAGGTCAAATGCCACATTTCTGAAGTCCACACCCCTTCCGTATGCCTCCAACCACACTGGCGAGCTGTTGAATTGACCTGGCTGGTCGCCCGGTGGACGGGCTGGAAAGCAAGCCGGGGCGTAGCCTTGGCAGTTGATAGCTTTCATCCTGGCTGCAGCTGGTCTCCCTTCTTCCCATCCAACCAGATAGGACTTTTTTTTTCAAAAAAGCTAAGCTTTCGTGCATCCGAAGTGTGTGTATTGAATTCGTACCACAGGTAGTCCTTGCTTTATGAGCCCAAGATTTCCATTGCTAGCAAGGCAGTTGTTAAATGTGTCGTCCCCCCCCCCATTTTACAACCTCTCGCGCCACAGTTGTGAAGTCAACCCCTGCAGTTGTTAATCTGTTTGTCAGGATTACCCCAATTAAATCACGAGTCTCGAGCCAAACTTCCAACACTTCCAAAAGATTTATTGGGAGTTAACATGTCAGCACTGCCTGGGTGCAGCCGACTCTGAGGCACATCATTCACTGTCACCCTTGACCCTGGTTTTTCCCCCACCCCCTGGGTATATCCTAATTCATGTTCTCCAATGGGACACATCCGTAGCCCAGAGTCATCAATCAGGCTCTCCAGTTAGAATCTTGCGCGGCAGAAACTTCAGTCACCTAGTTACTATCTTTGAAAACATTTATGGAATGCACTTTTGATTTACAAGCTGCCGCACTGCTCCCCGCTCCCTTTCTGTTGGCAACTCTAAAAAGACCATAGAAATATTTTACGAGTTGACACTAGTAACACAGCCATTAAACGAATCCAACTCTCTCCATGTCGCTTGTCAGACGGTTGCCAAAGGGAATCACATGACCCTGGGACACTGCAACCGTCATAAACACGATTCAGTGGCCAAGCACTTGAATTTTGTTCGTGTGAATCCTGGGGACGTGGCGACGATCCTCAGTGTGAAAAAAGGTCCTTCGTCACTTTTCCCAGGGGGCTTCCGTCACTTCCAACAGTCACTAAACAGTTACATATCGCTGACGACCTGCACGAAAACAACACAATTTTGTCGTCGTTTCTCACATCCTAAGACGGTGCTGAGTAAAAGGGTCCGATTCTAGCCCGTCTCCATTTGCCGATGCTTAAGGTGGAATCTGCCGTCGATTCATTCCCTCTTTCAGTGTGTCAAACTTTTCCTGTTTGTGATGTTTTGCGTCCCTGCAGTGATGTTACCTATTGCAGCTTCGGATGTTTGTTTCCTTATTTTTTTTTTAGTGTGTGTGTGTGTGTGTGTGTGTGTGTGTATGTATGTATGTATGTATGTATGTATGTTTTTTTAAGTTTTCACGGGTACTTACATGCATGGTATTCAGCTTTGTTCGGGTATTTTCCCACGTCGTTGTAGTTGTGCTTTTAAAGTTGTAGCAATGTTTCGGCAGAATCTCATCTGCCATCATCAGGCTTCTGTATAGTGTTCGTCTGTGAGTCAGACTTTTACAGTGGTTTTAGTTTTAAATTTGGGGCTAGCCTACTGCTGTGCCAGAATGGTTTTTTATTTATATTTATATTTATATTTATATTTATATTTATATTTATATTTATATTTATATTTATATTTATATTTATACATAAACATTTTAAATACAGTGTATTGTCAGGGCGTATCATTTACATGAAAAGCAAAGAAAGAACAAAGGATATTAACATAAATACTAATAACAATAGTAATTGAGTAACAATAGCTTTGCCTAGATTTCTCTTTATATTATCTTATTTGTAGTTCTGTTGATTATATTGGCATATTTATAACTATAAACCTTCTTTATATTTAGTTCATCCATAGCAATAATCTTTCTTCATCTAATTTCCACCTCTTATCTCTAACCACTCGTAAAATCTATTCCATGTTAAGTAATATTCTGAGTCTTCTTTGTCTTTTGTTTTCAATGTCAATCTATCCATCTTGGCACAGTCTAATAGTTTCCGGATTACATCCTCATCTGGTGGAGTGTTCTCATTTTTCTAGTATTGTGCAAATACAATCCTCGCTGCTGCCAATGCATGCAAAAATAGGTATATAGTCCCTTTATCATAGCCCTCCGGCATTATACCCCCAACAAAAATATTTCTGGTTTCAGATCTATTTGTTGCTTGATCATCTCCTCCAACCATGTATTTTCATCCAATATTCGGATGTTCGTTTCCTGCATGACAACATCAGCACTAGGATGTCCTGAAGGCTGTATTCTCGCCTGCATCATAAATATGGACAGGGGATCCAAAGTCAGACGCTTAGCAGCTGACTCGCATTTATGACGGTTGCAGCGTCCCGGGGTGTGTGTCACGCGATATTCCCCCTTTTGCAACTTTCTGCTGAGCCATTGGAGAAGCCAGGTTCACCGAACGACCCTGTTGCTAACTTAACAGCCGCAGCGATCCCCTTAACAACGGTGGCCGGAAAGTTCGTCAAACGGGACGTAACTCAGCTAACAACTGTCTTGTTCAGCAAACAGAAATGTTGGGCTCCATTCCGGTCGTACGTCGAGGACTATCTGTCATGAGGCAACATAGCGGGACTTGCAAAACGGGGTTGAGGGGAGAAGCTCGTGTTTAAGACTTGGTCAATGTTGCGTGAGGACTTGCTGTCATGTCCCCGTCGGAGTCTGAATCTGCAGAGGAAGACAAGCCGGAGCTGGAGTCGAGGGAGACCAAGGGGGCCGTTTCACTGGCTTTGGAGGTATGTGGGGAAGAGGCAGGCTAGTGCCCTCCAGGAGTGGGACGGCTTGTAAGCAGAGCGGAATGGGGGAAGGATGACCGAGAGAGGGCAAGCGGTGGAAAGGAAGAGAGGCGGAGCTCAGGCGATGAGCAAGGACCGCCCCCTCCTGATCTGTGAGCACGGAGAGTGGAAAGAAGGCAGGAACAGCGCAAGCTAACCCAAATACTTGGGAGGAGAGCGCCCCGCCCCTCTTCACAAGGCACACCTGGGGGCTGAACTTTAAGGAGACGCTGTGGGGAGGGGCGTTTGTCCGGCACAAACGGTGAATTCATGGAGTGTTGTGTGCCGTTGCCGACGTTTGGAGTTTCCTGGACTTCTTGCAATTTTATTTCTTGCTTCCTGAAATCGCTGCCTTGTTCCTTTGCTTCCTGGACTCATTGACTTATTTCCTTGCCCCGCGGGATTTACTTACTTTGCAGTCGTTTTGCTGGACTGCTTGCAGCCAGAGGCTGCTGGAGGTGTGTGTGTGTGTGTGTGAGAGAGAGAGAGAGAGAGAGAGATCACTTTGCTCTGGGACTTGCCATAACGTGGGAGCGTTTGGGGGAAAGTTGGAGCAATAAAGGGGACGATTTGAATTACCAGCTGACTGTGTTGCCTCTGTACCTTTGCCCCAGGTCATCACACTTGCTTGAAGCCTTCCGCCAAAAGGGGGAAGGAGTTCTGCCTTCCCCTCCCCAGTTTTCAAAAAATGAAACCACGAGGAACGTGGCACGTCACGGTAGGATGGAACGACTGGCAGTTCCGCTTTCCTGCCAACCCCTGAGTTGGCTTTATCTGCGGTGTGTTTAAATCACAGCCTTAAGTGGCTGGGTTCGTTTGGAAGCCATCAATTGTGATTTTTTTTACCCCATTGCGATGGCGTAACTTACTGAGCCAAGCCCCAAAACATGCTGTGTTATTTCTCAGCGGAGTGTGTTAATTTAGGCCCGTAAGTGGGTTGTGGGTATCGGGATGAGGAAGTGAATAAATGCACAGTTGGGCGCGGACGGAAGGCTCGGTGATAAACTGGCTGAGCTATTCGTGCGGGTTTAATCTCTTAATGCTAATTGGGAATATTTGAATGGCCAGAGGGCCACTGAGCGTTAGCAAATGAGGGTCGGCTGTTATGTATTTGTACATGAAACTTGAAGAACGTCTATGCAGATTCTCCATCATCCGGATCAGGGTTGTCCCAAAGATGCTTTTTCAAGAGGCAACTGGACTTTCTCTCCTTTTTTCTTTGAAGGTGTTTCGCTTCTCATCCGAGAAGCTTCTCCAGTTCTGCCCGGATGGTGGGGAATGGATTTTATATTCCTTACAGAGAGCTGGTCATTTGCATTCTTTTTAGAGATTCGTTGAGGCCACTTGGAGGTTTTTAAATCTGTGTCCTCAGGGTCACCTGAATGGTGCAAA